GCCCCCTTCCCGGGTTAGAGTTCTAATATTGCCTTAAAATGCTACTCAACTAGCTCTCCTGTTTTTTCGTAATTGAGTGGACAAACGTAGCCTTAATATTGAAAGTTATAGAGAAAACAACAAAAGGCAAACTCTCCTATTATGCTTTTTTCACAGAAACAGATGAATGTAAGTCCAGTCCATGTCTGAACGGTGGAACGTGCGTGGACGGACTCTACGATTTCACTTGTGTTTGTCCGAGCGCGTTCATTGGAAAACGTTGTGAAGGTAGGGTTACTTCGCATAATTTTGCCATTAAGGTTTAAAGGTTTCCAGTTGCCCAGAATGTCGCTAAAGAAGTTTCAAAGCTTAATGAAACAAGTTACTCATTGACAAGCGCTTTAGCTGAAACGATTTTTATAAAGCCGACTCAAAAAATAATAAAGGTTTCAGTAAGACATCTCATCCTCACCAAATTTCTATCGGATGAATTTTTCTCGAGGGTTAACAACAAGGGAATTCAAATCAATACACCACTTTTCAGCACTGATGCTGTCATTTCTCCATTAAGGTGTCTCCAGAATATCATGTAAAAATCTTCTGGACGCCGGGCATACCGCGAGTGGATCAAACTCTTTGAAAGTCAATGGTAGTTCATTTCAGGTAGGTTTGCACGCTTTCTGCGTAACCACCTTATCACAGCTTTACCTGATTTTTCATTTTGTTGGGATCTTAGTCATTAGATTTAATGGCACGAGATAACCGACATGTACAAGAGTGCATTCAATCGAAACCCTTCAGTACCTACCGACTAAACATGCTTAGTTTCGAGTTGATATTAGACAATTGTTTCATGTGGTATCTCCGTTTTTTAGTCTTAACTGCCTACTAACCAAGAATGTAGTCTTTACGGAAAAATCTCCCACCGAGACCTTGCCATATTGACCGAGCGATAACGAACTAGTCAATACGGCTTGGCCGAGGTTTGCAACTTTCCCGTAGGTTAGTTAGTAGTTTATTATATGGCTTTTTAAAAGCTATTTGACTGTTTCCTGTCCTGTCCAGCACCAGCTCGTTCGTAATTTAACACAGTGTATTCGCTGTTCTTCTTAAATTGTAGCTCTCAGGATGAAAGAAATAGTATTCAACCGCTACAATTTTCAGTAAAAACGATGATACCGTTTTTGCTTTGCTTTTTCAGGCCCGTAATCGGCTCATGGTAAGTGAATATCAAGGTAAGAGAGTTAATCCCCCATATAGACCATATACCCAAGGTAATCCTTCCTAAATTATTTTAGACATAAAACCCAGTTCTTCCGCAGATGTTACTCGCGCGTTGCGTAAATGGTTTCGTGGAAGATTTGTTTATGTGTCGCTTCGTTTCAAAGCGAAATAAAACCTCCAACGCAGTGGGGATGCCTTATTTTACGATATAGATATCAAAGGAGCTTCTACCCTAACTATGTTTTAATACATTTCGAAACTTTAATAGGAGTTTAAATAAGAGATCGAGGTCTCCTGCCCAAACAATAATAGACTGAATGACTGAAATGCAGAGAAATGATCAGCCAAACGAATGCAAAGCAAACGAACGCCCGAACACAACGCAACTGAACAAATGAATGGTCGAAAGTGCAGACAGACAGTAGCCGCCCAAACAACAAAAGAGAGTTTGAGAAACAACGACAACAAAGCCAAGAACACAAGCACAGAAAACATCTGTGCTATGAAACGTTTTTTGAAAACCATAACATATAAAATGACTTTTCACCTCATTTCCCGCCATTTCGTCTCAGGTAATTGCGAGAAAGTCGATTGGGCTGTCCACGCATCGCGCGGGTAACATCCTCGGAAAAACTGGGAACCACGTCTAAAAATAACTAAAGAGGGATTACCTTGGGTAGAAGACCAATATGAGGGATTCACTCTCTTACCTTGATAATCTCTTGACCCAGGGGCATTAAGGGAGAATAATGCCCTAGAATTAGCCAATCAGAGCGCGATTTATATTGGATAGAAACACAAGCCATATAATAATAATAATCATATCCCTCAAGTTTTTCGATTCTTTCCTACGTTTGTTTTTTCAAGTTCCTATTCGTATTGGAAACAAGCTGAAACAGGCTTATTCCATTGTGTTACTTAATCGAGTGCCCTGGGACTGAGCGGGCTGTTGCCTCGCTCGAACCTTTTTTTTTTTTTTTTGGCGCTTGTTTTGGGGACGGCGGAGGACGGTGATATCGTTAAAGCCCTGGAAAATATGCCGGAGAAAGAGTAGGTTGAAAGACGTATTGGGGAGAAGGAGAAAAAAGTGGTGAACTAGCAATTCTCAGTTTGTTTTTGCCTCGTTTTTTGCCGTCTCAAGGACAACCAAACAACCAACGACCTGCTTGGCAGGCTAATTGTACGGTTTTTATGGGAACTATGAAGTCAATAACCCTATACATAGGGGCCAAATAATAGGCCATTTCCGAGTTGTCTTTTGCTTCTGTCTGAAAACGAGTCTTCGTGCGAAAATATTTATATGAAAACAGGTTTATTTTCATGCAAATCAAACTCATTTTCATATGAAAGGTTTTGCACGAGGACTGGTTTCAAAAAGGAGGCACAAGGTAAACTCGGAAATGGCCTATTGCATGACATACTTTTCGTCCTATTAAGGAAGAGACAGCTTTCATAAAAAAGCTGGCCATCATTTCAAATTATACGAGTCTAAGGCTACCCTGTAGTCCAGTTTCCGGTCTCTTTCTTTCATTTAAAACTCATTTTGCCAAACAAACAGTGGTTTGCCTCTTTTTGCTAAGCCTTGATATGACAAAAACACAAATGAGGTTTCAAGAAGTATCTCCTTATGGTATAGTTTTCATTTAAAGTGTCACATTCTAACGTCTTCTGTGATCTATTACTATCTGATTTACATAATGATAGGGAAAAGATAAAAATGTTAATGACATCATCTGTACGTCTGTCATCCAATTGATCATAGGAAAGAACTAATCGAAATGCGAGAATAATTTGACTTATTATATAAATCCGGAATCTCTAATAGTGGTGTGTTTTATTTTTATCAGGTTTATTGCGACATGTCAGCAAACGCAGGTGGATGGACTCTCATTGCTCGGTTTTCAAACGCTGATACAAAAAACTGGATGAGAGATGATGCTTACTGGTGGTATGACATCCAGACTTCACAGGGGTCCCCTACAAGCACGTCAAGTAACTATGACATGATATCTGAAGCATTTTGGAGAGTTAAAGGAAGTGAGATTAAAATCACACGCAGCGACGATAGTTCAAACACTGCTCTCCTTCGTACGTATTCTAACTGCCTAGCTGGAAACACACTCAGGGGATTTTTGTCCAGTTATGGTAAATTTAGTTACAGTAACGTTTGGTCAGACGATCGATGTCTTGGAAGCTGTCTAGTGTATTATGGAGGCTCGTATAGCTCTACAG